TGTATCCATCCCCTCCTCCCTTTTCCCACCTGCCTGAGAACCAAAAAATGTTATTCCTATATGTCCACTTAGGTGTTGATCCGTTAATGACAATTTGCTGGTGAGTACATGTGGTGCTTGTTTTTCCATTCTTGAGATACTTTACTTACTAGAATGGTTCCAGCTCTATCCAGGAAAATCTAAGAGGTGATATATCACCATTGTTTCTTAAAGGTGAATAGTACTCCATGGTATACATATACCAAATTTTATTAATCCAATCATGTATTGATGGGCACTTGGGTTGTTTCCACAACTTTGCAATTGTGAATTGTGCTGCTATCAACATTCAAGTGCAGGTGTCTGTTTTGTAGAGCATCATTTGAACTTTTGGGTAGATGCCCAGTAGGGGGATTGATGAATCAAAAGATAGATCTACTTGTATCACTGTAAGGTATCTCCATATTGCTTTCCACAGAGGTTGAACTATTTTGCAGTCCCACCAGCAGCGTAGGAGTGTTGCTATGTCTCCACATCCATGCCAACATTTATTGTTTGGTGACTTTTTGATAAAGGCCATTCTTACTGGAGATAAGTGATAACTCATTGCAGTTTTGATTTGCCTAACCCTGATGATTAGACATGTTGAGCATTTCTTCATATGTTTGTTGGCTATTATTCTCTCTCCTTTTGAAAAATTTCTATTTGTGTCCTTTGCCCACTTTTTGATAGGGTTGTTTGATTTTTTCCTTGCTGATTTTCCTGAGTTCAAAATAAATTCTAATTATCAGCCCTTTATCAGATGTGTAGCTTGAGAAATTTGTCTCCCATTCTGCAGGTTGTCTGTTGGCTCTCTTGACAGTTTCTTTGGCTGTGCAGAAGATTTTTAATTTGATCAGGTCCCATTTATTTTTTTTGTTGCTGCTGTGATGGCCTTTGGGGTCTTCTTCATAAGTTATTTGCCTAGGCCAATGTCCAAAAGAGTATTTCCTATGTTTTCCACTAGAATTCTAATAGTTTCACACCTAAGGTTCAAGTCTGTTACCCAGTGTGAGTTGATTTTTCTGAGAAGTGAAAGGTGTGCATCCTGTTTCAGTCTTCTACATGTGGCTATCTAGTTTTAAGAACAAGACCTTCCCTTTTGGGGCCCTACAGCAAGTGAGAGGTACTCAGATGGTAAGCTCCCTACCTGCCAGCCATCCCAGGTGCTGCTGGCCTGTTATCCAGGAGAAAGGGGCAGACACTGAGGCTGAGAGACATACACCCAGCTTAGGCTCCCCATTGGTGAATTAGGACTGGCAGTCCTCTCCCTGGTGGGGACAGGGATTGAATTCCAGGGCCCAGAGGTCAGACCTGCAGACCAGATCTTGTGCACATAAGTCTTGCATTGCCAGAGGCACAGAAGGGGTATTCGTGAAGGAGCCTAGTAAGGTATGTGTGCCTTCAGGGGCAGATCAGCATGCTTGAGGACAACCCTCCTCCCAAGGGGGGCTGTGTGCCCAGCCCAGGCTGTGACCCTGTGCAGGGAACCTCCCAGCCTGTATCACAGCCAGGGAAGACCTGGTGGCATAAGGTCTGGCCTGCTGGCAGAGACCCAGGAGAAGCCATGGAGTTGGGGAGGGTGGAAAGGAGTGAGGCCTGTTCTAGACTTCAGGTCATAGACAGCCACACCCCCAATGCAGATTTTCTGACTGAGTGGGGCCATTCCAGCCCCTCCCTGACATCTTTTCTTAAGCAGAGAACAGAACTTTGACCTCTGCTAACACCATTTGCTGTGCTTGAGGGTAGGCTTACCCAACCAAGCTCCATCTAGACTCATTCCCAGTCCAGCCCTCACTGAGGTGGAGAATAAGGACACACCTGGAAGAATCAGGGCCCTACTGACCACCCAGGCACTAGAGTGACTCTCCAGAGAAATAAGAGCTGTTTACAGGACCCCAAAACAACAGCCTACTCCTCTGAGTGAGCACCACCTACTGACAGGAAGGATATTCTGCACACCCTTCTACAACATCTACTGACTCATCATACAGGGTGTGGTCAAATCTCACCCACAAACACTACCTACTGCCTCAGAGACAAAACAAGGCGTGTCATTATCCAAATGAAAATCTAAAGGTAAGAAGCAACAACAGATTCACATGGGAAGAAATCAGGAAAGGAACTCTGGAAATATGAAGACTAAAACAGAAAGCACACCCCCTAAGAAGAACACCAGCCCCTTAGAAAGGTACATCAACCAAAATCACAACACTAAAATGACAGAAGAAGAATTTTGTATATGGATCATAAGAAAATTCAACAACTTACAAGAAAAACTGTATATCCGACACAAAGAAAACACAGAAAGTTTCCAGGACCTGGAAGAACAATTCACTAAAGAAATTGAAACAATAAAGAAAAATCTAACTGAACTCCTGGGAGTGAAGACTCAATTCAGGGAACTACAAAACACAGTGGAAAGCCTGAAGAACAGGGTAGATCAAGCAGAAGAAAGAATCTCAGAGATTGAAGATAATACCTTCCAATTAAATAAATCAGTCACAGAGATAGAACAGAGAAACAAGAGAAAGGAGCAAAGCCTACAAGAAATGTGGGATTATGTGAAGAAACCTAATGTGGGGGTTACAGGATTGCCCGAAGGAGAATAAGAAAACACTCAAGGGTTGGATAAGCTGCTTGAAGATATAATAGAGGAAAAATTCCCAGGCCTTGCTAAAATTCTCAATATCAAAGTTCAAGGAGCTCAACGGACCCCTGGGAGATTCAATACAAGCAGGAAGACCTTACAAAGGCAGTCATCAGACTGACCAAAATATCAACTAAAGAAGCCCTTCTATGAGCTGTAAGATGAAAGAAGCAAGTAATATACACAAGAAAGCCAATCCCACTAACGCCAAACTTCCCTACTGAAACTTTACAAGAAAGGAGAAACTGGGGCCCCATTCTCACTCTTCTGAAACAGAATAACACCCAGCCTAGAATCTTATTTCTGCAAAACTAAGTTTTGTATATGAAGGAGAAACCAAGACATTCTCAGATAAGGAAAGACTGAGACAATTCACCAAGACAAGACCAGCCCTTCCAGAAGTACTCAAAACAGTGTTACCCACAGATCAGCACAATAAACATTCACGAATGTGAATCTACTCAAAAGCTAAAGATGAAAGCCCAGAAACCACAATGGCTCAAGAGAGAAAACAAAGCAACAAATTTCAACCCAACACAATGAACAGAAATCTGCCCCCCCTATCAGTTATCTCAATAAATGTGAATGGCTTGAACTCCTCATTCAAGAGATATAGGCTGGTTCAATGGATAAAAAAAAATAAAATAAAAGCCAAGTATCTGCTGCCTTCAGGAAACACATCTAACCTGCAAGGATGCTGTTAGACTAAAGGTAAAGGGGTGGAGAACAATATTTCAAGCAAACAGAAGCCAAAAGAAAGCTGGCATGGCAGTGCTGATTACAGATAACTTAGTTTTTAAAGCAACAAAAGTAATAAAAGACAAAGAAGGTCATTATATAATGATGAAGGGTACAGTTCAACAAGAAGACATAACAATTCTAAATATATATGCACCCAACCTGGGTGCACCCAGATTCATAAAGCAAATGCTACTTTGATCTAAACAAATGGATAAACAGCAACACCATAATAGTCAGAAACTTTAACACCCCACTGACAGCACAGGACAGATCCTCCAAAGAGAAAATCAACAAAGAAATAATGGACTTAAACAGAACTCTAGAACAAATGGGCCTGACTGACGTGTACAGGACATTCTACCCCAAAACCACTGAATATACATTCTTCTCATCAGCTTGTGGGTAATTCTCTAAGATTGACCATATCCTAGGACCAAAAGCATGTCTCAAACAATTTAATAAAATAGAAATTATACCATGTATCTTTTCAGATCACAATGGAATAAAAAAAGAATTCAACCCTAACAGGAACTTTCATTTCTACACAAAGTCAGGGAAACTAAACAACCTTCTGCTGAATGATCACTTCATAAATGATGAAATAAAGAATGTAATCAAAAGATTCTTTGAACTAAATGACAAAGGAGAAACAAGTTGTCAAAAGCTGTGGGACACAGCTAAGGGAGTCCTGAGAGGAATGTTTATTTCCATAAACGCCTATATCCAAAAATCGAAAAGATCACAAATACACAACCTAATGAATTGTCTCAAAGAGCTGGAAAAAGAACAGTTCAACCCCAAACCCAGTCGTAGAAGTGAAATCAGTTCCAAAGGGGTCCTGCCTACATTAGGTAGGAAAGAATGTTACACAGAAGAAAAAGAAGAATCTGGACAGACTTTGCTGTGTTTCCCTAATCGTTTTTTAACATAACATCATTCTCTTTTTGCCCAACCATATTTATTCACAGTCTATACTCTGATAAACTTAAGCATGAAAATGGATAATTTCACCTCTACTTTGCTTCTTCTTCCTAAAAGATCTCATGTGGTCATGTTAAATAAATTGTTATGCCTTTTCTCCAGTTAATCTACAGTTCAGAGTTAATTTTTTAACAAAACATTCAAGGTCCAAGGAGAAGTTTCAATATGTATGATATGGCTAGATGATATGAAAGTCAAAATTGTGTGTATCTATAGGGGGGTGGGCTCATTGTCTGAAAGTAGCAATAAGAAGGGAAGAAGAAAAATCTCCACTCTGAGAATGAAAATATCCATCAATTGAGAGAGTGATAAGTGAAGCATTAATTTCAGAGGGAAGAGACACATTTGTTACAGAAAATTGGAAAAGGACCAGTTTTCCGAAGGGGTTGAAGTTACAGAGTACTTGGTTGATAAGTGACCATGGATTATAGGGATTCAGGAGGTGGCAAAGTGTAGAATATAAAGTTAAGCTTAGCAAGAGGGTGAAGTTCAGATTAAAAATTAATTGGTCATTATTTCTAAGGACACTAATATAGCATTTCAGGAATTTGGAGCGATAGAATATATACTCAGCAAAATTGTGTCCAGAACTTGGTGGGGGACAATCGGGGTAGGGTTGAAATCCAAGGTCACTGTGATGAACAATGTGCCTGGGACCAAGAGTATAAGAGGATTAGTCTTAAAGACCTTAGAGCAGAGAAGAGTCGGGCTGCTGTGAGAGTCGAAGAGAGGGAGTGTGGGAGAATAGCCAGGATCACACAGGTATGCGACACCTTCTCAGAGCTTGATGCTGGGTATATGTTTGCCTGAAAAAGTTATTATTCTAAGAGTGTGCTGAAATGCCCTCTTGAGCCTAGCTGGGAGAAGATTGGTTTTATCTCATTATGCTGGCTCTAATAATTTGAGGAAGACCTGCTAATGAATGATCAATTAAAATTCACAACTTTTAAGTGCTGTTATGTTAACATATGAGAGTGAAAAGATTGAACTCACCATTTTACTGAAGAAGCTAGAAAATAGAAAAAGAGAATGGCATTAAATATGATAAAAGCTGAAACTAATATTTTGAAAACAGAATAACAATAGAATTAAAAATAAGTACAAATGTTCATCTCCTTTATGTTTTTCTGAAAAGATGAAAGGCCGAAGCTGGCAGGCTAAATAAAAGGGAAAACACAAGCAAGAAAGAGTAAGCCTTAAGTACTACTGCATTTAAATAGGTGATTAAATGAAACTACTCTCTTCAATATCTGGCTGATAAAGTGTAAAATACTGGTGGCATTAACACTATTCCTGAGAAAATACAAATGAGAAATATTGAATTAAGGATAGAAAACAATGAGGAACTTTCAAAATACTATGGAGGATGTTAAAAGGACATTATAAAGTGTATTACTTTCCTAGGGCTACAAAAACTAAGTACCTCAAACTGGATGCCTACAACAACAGAAGTTTATTTTTCTACCATACTGGAGGCTAGAATTCTGAAATCAGTCTTCTAGGGGAGAATATTGTCTTTCCTGAAAGTTTTGGTAGCCCCAAGCAGTCCTTAGCTTTAGGCCTCTTCACTCGAATTTCTCCAACAACTTTACTTAACATTCTCCCTCTTTGTCAGTCTTCACATGGGTTCTCTTTTCTGTGTGTGTCTCTGTCTATATCTTATCTCTTCTTGTAAGGACACTAGTTCATCCTGGGTTAAGGACCTAACCTACTCCACTATGAACATGTGAATGTGCTCACACTCTCTAAATACATTGTCCCCCCCACCCCCCACTGCTGCAGGACTTGCTACTCACAGCACAACTTGGACCAAACTCTCAGACCCTTAAATTTCTTCCATTCTGGATTCCATTCTTCCTACTTTGTGCTGAAGGTCCATGACCAGGAGTTCTCGGGTTTCCAACTAAGACCCATAGAGTCCACATCAAAATGGGTACATCAGCAAGAATGGAAGAGCTCCACTCAATGACAAATCTAGAATTTTCATCTTTCCATATTTCCTCCCCAGATTTCGAACAAGAGATATGCTTCATTTTTCTTGGAGAAACCATATGCAGGGTTGCTATGGAAATGGGAAGCAGCACCTCTCAGAGCCAATGTAGCCATTGACCTCCTGTTAAGCAATTACCTCAGCAACAACCTTGTTTCTAAATAAAGTCAAACTCTGAGGACCTAAGAAGTGCAAGAACTCTTGTGGTAATGCTATTCAAGGAACTCTCTGCAAAGTTTAAAACTGTCTTTGAAACTTTCAGGGTTAGATAATATATTTTATTTAACCTTTCCAGAGCATGGCAAATGATTCATATTTTCTCAAATATTATACTATTAAAAAAATTTAACTGCTACTAAAAACTTGACCAATCATAAAATAATTATAGATTACAAATAGAGAAGTAGAGAATTCTGTATAAAATATTGGCAAGGGATATTAAAGAGAATGATTAAAAAGAGTGTATGTTGGACAGTTCCATTTAATTCATATATATTTTATCTTAAGGCAAGTAACAATAAATATATTAAGAGATGAATGTTGCCAAGCTTTCTGATCATTGGCAAGAATGTCGTCAATCCCAGTAATGAGAGGCAGTCCTCTACCTTCTATGTTTGTGTTTATATGGGCATGCATACCTAGTGGAGTTTGGTTATTTAACAAGTTTTGTTTTATGTGTAGCTCCTTGACCACTTTTGCCTTCATAGTGTCTATCAGGGTTTGAGAATAAAGGTGAGAAATAGAAAATTTACATTAAATTTTACACAACAGGGTTAAATTTGATGCAAGTATGATAGGAAATTGGTTTTAATTGACCATGTATAATGTATAAGTACAAACAGAAAAATCTGAAAATAAAAGAGGTTTATATGAGAAAATACCTAGTATTATCTGACACATAAATCAAAGTCAATAAATGAGAAGTTGAAAAGAGAAGAGTCATAGAGTATAGTGTATAAGTTAGCATGTGTTAAAAGGATTGCTAAATATTTGAGGAAATGACAAAATGTTTGCTGAATGACTAGAAGACAAACAGCATTGGGTCTTAACAACAAATTAAAAATATGGGAAAATCTATCAGTAGAAATTATTTTAGCTAATGGAAATGTGATAATTGTATATCATTGCAAGTCTACAGATAACTAACTAATGGGTCACGTCTTACATACAAAAACTTTTTTTCTCCTTTCTAAAAAATCTGTATCTTAGTAGTAGCCTTTCATATAAAACTAATACAAAATTAAAGTTTTATGCTAGGAGAGTCATGTGCAATTTTAATATCTTGCTAAATATCTGCTGTTGGAGCATTAAAGAAGGAATAAACCTAATGAACTCATGTTGGAGGTAATCCATGGTTTTGTTAAGAAAACAGTCAGACACTACAGATTGTCTAGGCAAGGCAAAATCTTTACTCCTCATAAGAAGGGTGCCTAGCACCAGCCAAAGCACCCAGCCAGCAGTGTGCCAAAAAGAGGTTCTTCACCTTTTTATCTCTAATGCACACTAAGGCTGTGTCTCATCCCATCAGTAGGGACTTTGAATTCACAATCTTGCTCTTACCTGATTGGCTAAGGCACATTGTTGAGGTAAAATAGAGAACAAAAAAGTTTAAACTGCTAAACATGGTGTTTTTTTTTTTTGTATTGCAATAAAGTAGATAAAATCAAGGTTGTTTTTATTGTAGAGTTTTTGCTATGTGCTAATAATTATGTAGAGCTTGATATCAGACAGAGTATTTATTCCTTTGGCAGAAAAGATTAGGCTGAGGTCATCTCCTCCTAAAATTTCCACCTCTTTTGTATTAGATTTTTCTATACTTTTCCTCAAATTAGGTAAGGATGACCTGACTTTGGTGTTCTTGGTTTTTTAATAGTAACAACTTGTTTTCATATGGAGGTGGAAAAGGTTGTTTAGTTAATGCTGTTTCTATTAATCTCTGGATTAGTCTCCTAACACAAGGGATAATGCAACATCCAACTAATATGAAGACACCAAATACAATAATTATGGAAGTTAGAACTTACGTAATCAACCTCTTTCATTTGTTTTCTCTCTTTTTTTTTCAGGATATTGTGGGGATACCAATATTTTGGTTACATGTTATGACTTTACCACACCGAAGCCATGATTTGGGGCATGCAGTTGGCTCACTACAACTCTCCCTGTGTTCATTAGTTGTGAGTTTACCTACTCCAAAACCCCAACCCTCATAAATATTGCTAATGCGTGAGCACCTTAGTGTTGATCAGTTAGTGACAATTTGATGACAAGTACATGTGGTGTTTATTCTTCCATTCCTGTGATACCTCACTTCAGAGGATGGGCTCAAGCTCTCTCCAGGAAAATATAAAAGGTGCTAGATCACCATCATTTTTTGTAATTAGTACATTCCATTGATATCATATACCATATTTTATTTAATCCACTCCAGATTAATGGCATTGGGTTTTTCCACATCCTTGCCAATAGTGAAAAAAAATTGGTTTGCTTGGCCCCCATAAACATTATAGTGCAGATGTCTTTATTATGATGTCTTTTTTTTATTTGGATATTATGGAACAGATTTCCAAGGTTTCAATAAATGCCCCTCATTTCCCCTCCCCAACAAGTCCTGAGTCTCCATCATGACATCCCATATGGCACATCTCACCTCCAATTATGTATGACTATACCACCCTCCTCCCCCTCCCACCTGCCCAATACCCTATTGTAGACCTATGGTGCCACTTAGGTGTACAGTTAATACCAGTATTGCTAGTGAGAATATATGTGGTGCTTGTTTTCATTCTTGGTAAACTTCACTAGATAGTATGGTTCCAGCCTCTAACCCAGGAAAATATAAATGTGCTAATACACCATTGTTTCTTAAAGTGAAAGTACTCATGGAGACATATACCACATTTTATAACCATTCTTGATTGATGGGCACATGGTCCGCTGTTCCACAGCCTTGCAATGATTGTGCGCTATAAACATCGAGTGCAGGTGCTTTGTAAGAGTGCCACTGGATCCTTTGGTAAGCCCAGCAAAGGGATTGCGGATCAATGTAGATCAACTAGTATCGCTTTAAGTATTCCATATTGCTTTCCACAGAGGTTGCAACAGTTTGCAGTCCCCAGCAGTGTAGGAGTGTTCCTCTCTCTCCGCAACCACTGCCAGCATTTTTGTGGAGATTTTTGATAAAGCGCATCACCTTGGGTTAAGTGTATCTCATTAGGGTTTGATTGCATTCCCTGACTGAATTAGAGATGTTGAGCATTTCTTCCATATGTTTCGCGGCCATTCTCTTCTTCTTTAAAAAGTTCTGTTCAAGTCTTTGCCCACTTTATGGGGTGTATTGATTTTTCTTCCTTATTCGTGGTTCAAGTATCAATTCGTAGTTATCAGTCTTATGGTGCATAGATGCAAAAATTTTTCTCCCATTCTGTAGGTTGTGCTGTTTACTTTTCATGACATTTCTTTGGCTGTGCAGAAGCTTGTAGTTTCATTGCCCATTTATTTATTTTTGTGCTGCTGTGATTGCCTTTGGGGACGTCTTAAATCTTTATGCACACAAGACCTGGAAATGTGGAGAAATGGTACAAATTTCGTAGAAACACAGAGCTCCCTAGGCTCAACCAGAAGAAATAAGATCCTGAATAGTCCATTCAACAGCTGGAATAGAAACAGCAATAAAAATTCCTAAAAAGAAAAAGTCCCGGTCCAGATGGCTTCACACCTGAATTTGACCACACCTTACAAAGAAGAACTAGTACTATCTTGCAAGAAACTATTCACAAACATGAGAAGAACGGAAACCTACCAACACCTTTTATGAAGCGAATATACTCTGTACAGAACCAAGAAAGGATGCACAACAAAAAGAAATACAGACCCAATATCCCTAATACGATATAGATGCAAAAATTTTCAACACAATCGTAGCAACCGAATCGACACTATTCAAAAAAAATCCCACCACGACCAAGTGGCTTCATTCCCCAGGGATGCAGGATGCGTCAACATCGTAAATCATAAATGCAATTCACCTACATAAACGAACAAAAAACAAAGACACCATGATTCTTTCAATAGATGCAGAAACTTTGACACAATATCAACACCCTTTCATGAATACGAACATTAAGAAAATAGGCGTATAGAAGGGACAACTAAAATGATACAAGCCAGTATATGACGACCATAGACATTCATAACTGAATGGGGAAAATTGAAATCATTCCACTAGAACTGAACCAGACAAGGCTGCCCACTATTCCACTTCTGTTCAATCATCAGTGCTGGAAGTCTGCCTACAGCATCAGACAGGAAATGAATCAAAGGTATTCCAAATAGGCGGCAGAAGAGATCAAACCTTTCACTCGTTTGCTGATGATTATGATATTGTATCTAGAAAACCCAAAGTTCAACCAAGAACTCCTGGAACTGTCAATAATTTATAAAGTCTCAGGATACAAAATCAATACACAGAAATCAAGGCATTCATATACGCCAGAACAACAATCTAATTGAGAACCAAATCAAAGACTCATTCCCTTCACAATAGCAACAAAGAAATTAAAGTACCTAGGAGTATACTTAACCAAGAGGTAAAAGCCATCTACAGGGAGAATCTATGAAAACACTGGGAAGGAAATACAGAGGGATGTAACAGATGGAAATCCAATGACCATGCTGCTGTGGATTGGCAGACTCAAATTCATCAAATATGTCATACTAACCCAAACTTGATCTACAACTTATGCAATACCTATTAAAATCCTCATCAGCATTTCTTCACAAGATATAGAAAAAAACATTTTACGGCTTCGTATGAGACCAAAAAGAAGACCCGAAATCAAGAGCATTTCTAGGGCACAAAAACAAATAGGGGCATCTAACATGCACAGATATCAAAATATACTACAAAGCTGTAGTAATTAAACAATATGGTATTCGGCACAAAAAATCAGGAATATTACCCAGTGGAACAGATTGGATCCTGATATAAAACCATCCTCATATAGTCATCTTATCTCTTGACAAGCAGACATAAACATAGTGGGAAACAGAATCCTTCTCAATAAATGGTGTGGGAAACTGGATAGCCACCTGAGAAGCTAAACAGCCACACCTTTCACCTTCACAAACCAACTCACGCTGGATAACGGACTTAAACTAAGAGATGGAAACATTAGAACTCTAGGAAAAAGTTGGAAAACTTGCCTAGACTCGGCCTGGGCAAAGAGTTTTATAGAATGGGCTTTTGTCCTATGGTGGATGCCTAATAGTTGCTATTGCTGATCCAATGGTATTCTACTTTTCACTTCTTTGAGTGTCCTATTCTTTCTAGATAGTTGTACTAATTACAGTCCCACCACCAGTGTAAGAGTGTTCTAAAAACTCCCATCCCTCCTCTAGCATTTGTTGGTTTGGGAAGTTTGATAAAGCCAATGTCACTGGGGTTAGGAGATATACCTGTGGTTTCATTGCATTTCTGACAATTAGAGATGTTGAGATTTTTACATGTTTCTGGCCATTATTCTGTCTCTTTGAAAAGTTTCGTTCATTTCCATTGCCCACCTTATTGATGGGCTTTTGATTTATTCTGTTGATTTTTTGAGCTCTAGATAATCCTGTTATCAGCTCATATCAGAGTGTAGAAAGCAAATATTTCATCATCTTTAGGCTGTCCTATTTTGCTCTAAATGATAGCTTCTTTGGCTGTGCAACAGCTTTTTAATTGATCAGGTCCCATTTCTAATTTGGTTACTGCTGTGATGTTTGGGGGTCTTCTCATAAATTCTTTGCCTAGGCTGCTGCCTAAAAAGTCCTCTCCTAACATTTTCTTCCTAGGATTCTTAGGTTCATGCTTAGGTTAAGTTGTTATCCATCATAAATTGATTTTTGTAAGAGGTGAGAGGTGGGTACCCAGTTTCAATCTTCTGTATATAGTTATCCAGTTTTTCCAACACATTTATTGAAAAGAGATTCTTTTTCCCAGTGCATATTTTTCTCTGTGTTGTCAATGGTTACATGAAAATATGCGAATGCTTTCATGTCTAGATTCTCATGCCTTTTCCAAAGGTCTATATTTCTGTTATTGTGCTAGTAATATGCTATTTTTGTTACTATAGCCATGTATTACAGCTTGAAGTCTGGTAAACTAATACCTCCTAGTTTGTTGTTTTTGCATAAGATTGCTTTGGCCATATGATGTTTTTTCTGGTTCCATACAAAGCATACAATTAGTTTTTCTACATCTGTGAGGAATGATGATGGTACTATGATAGGAACTACATTAATTCTGTAGATCACTCAGGGTAGTATGGCCATTTTATCAGTGTTGATTTTGCCAATCCATGAGCAAGGTAGAGTTTTCCAAATCATTGCTCCATGATGCTGGTGAAATGGTTATCTACATTGGGGTTTTCAGTTACTTCATTCATACAAGGTAGTAAGTCCTTGCAGAGCTTTGGTGGTTCTGCCTTCCAGAGCTGTGTTGTTGGGGATTTAAGTGCAGAACTGGCCTCCAATCATGACACACACTGTACCTTTTTCTGTTAATATCATGTCCAAAGCCATTCTATTTCCCCAGGTCATTTTGTTGGCAGGCCCTAATTGTTCAGCTATATTTTTGATGGCAACCCTGATATAATTTACAAATCTTTGTGGATTGTAGTATACATAGTTGATTCAGCCTACATTTTTATTTACAGTGGACCACCAGAAGAATAAAGATTCAAATATAACCCTTATTTGATGTCTAGTTTTGAATTCATTTGGTACCCTTCTGGAGACTCTAATAGCATCAAGAAATATATGAGAATCAAAAGATCCTCTCAGACTATCTGTTTCTTTTTTTCGTCTGATGTTCTCTCTCCTGAATCGGGAGCTGATGGAATGCCAGCGTAAAAGGGACCCCAATTGCACCAAAGTTCAGATGCCACTCTAGCTTTTCAATAGGACGTTAAATTGTTGGTCTTTCATTACCACCAGAGGTCTCCTTGGGATATGAAGAGGGTACACTGATCCTGTAAATTCTAGCAGGCCAAGCTTTCATTGCACCCTATTGTGGTTCTAAGAGTCACCACCCCTCCTCCTGTCTAGAGAGACAGGAGGTAAAGTTGACATCAGAGGGTGGTAGCCTCATGGTCCTCTAAGGCTGAGCTGGAAAACTTCTCATATCATGGAAAAG